CCTTAAATCTCATTTGAACAGCCAATCTATGGATGATGATCTTAGTACCTTAACAAGATGAACCCACCTGAGATTACTGTATAAGTAGTCAATCCTAATGATTTAACAACTGCTTATTAGAGTGAGAGATGAAGAAGCCTAACAGTCAATCAGGGTTCTCCTTGCAAAGATCAATAAATTCACCAAGGCAGACAGCTGCTGGAAAAAAGTTAAATAACTTTTTTTTTTTTTAAAGGTAATATTTTACAAAGTGCATTAACTTCCAACTGCTTGACTTTTCCTATTGATACTCCAATTGAGAATTTGGTCATATCAAATGGCATTCTGTTCAGCCACAAGTGTAGCATGAGAGGCTGGGAAATTCAATGATGCAATAACAGTGCAAACAACGAGAACAACTAAGTATCCGGCGCAGAATTGGAATACACAAGGTGAACAGAGTGTAGCGACAGCGTGATCACATCCTACTTGTAAACATGCTGCTTGCTGCTCCCTTGGTCAAGACTTTCTTGAAAAGAGAAATTTTGTAGAATGTCAGGTAAGTGAAAAGCAATTGACCACTTTGTGACAAAAGAAAAAGTCATCCAACATATATACACCATGAAATCACAGATGGGTTCCATAACTAGCCAGTCAAGATGTTGAGCCATGCATTGAATTTACACTCTGGCAGACTAAACCAACAATGTGAATTGTCTGTCCAAATGGTCAGCCAATCACCCTGAGAGCTCCCAAGTAAAACTGCTGGTATAGATAGAGCTGCCCTTATCTGGTGCTTGAAGAAACAATCATCTGTCCAATGACTACGTGGGTCGAGGTTTCTAGGATGTGACCTCGTTCTTCAGATGCTTTCAAGAACCCAATTGCATGCACTGAAAAGGGTGTATCAAACTGCTGCTTATATGAAGTTTGGCACCTCTCACATCAGAACATAAACACACAGCTTCTACAAATGTTTGCAATAACACAGGGAGAGGAGTCATTCATCCATATCCTGATCGCTGTAAACAAGATCAAATCTACAAGCTTTGCCAGTTCCTTCCCAGGTAAGTAGGTATACACTTTCCCTGCTTTAGAAAAGTAGACTGATAGGATTGCTATTGCTGGCATCGTCGTCGTCACCATTATACTTATTTCAGAGAAGAATGGGACTTGGCTTGCCCAGCTTTTCACTTTGACCTTGAGCCCTGTATTGAGTAAATCAGCAATAAGATAACACAAAACAAAAATGAACTCCCCACAAATAATCTGACATGTAATGCTGAACACTCGGAACGGCCTCAGAAGTGCTTCTAAAAGTCAAAATCCTTCATTGCCCATCACTCATCTTGAGGTTTTTCTAATGGAGACAAGATGTGAAATTCTAGCACCAATTTCAAGTCTTGACTAGTGCATAAACTGAAGGTGACACAACTGGTATTGCACCGGATCTAAAGACACACTGGCTGTAGACAGAAAATGTAGATCGTTAATTGACAAGGGCCTGAATATACCAGGAATCCGACAGGATCTCAATGCTCACTACCATCTCTGAATAGAGTTCCAGACTGTGAGGAGGAAGCATGCTGCTCACATCAGACAAAAGAGGAAGGTGACACGGGACATCTGTAAAACAAAGAAAAAACATGGTATATTAGCCGTGTTAGGTTAGCTTTTCATTGAAGGTAGCTGATCTTGAAGGGGATCTAATTCAAGGAAAATATTATAGAAGGGATACAATATACACAGCAAGATAATTTCTAAATCTTCAGTTGCTTTTTGTCTTTTTCTCAAATGGTAGCCAAAGCCAACTGGCCCCAAATCAGAAAAACAAATAGACTTACATATTTGGTATCCAGAGTTGTGCAGCTGATCAGTTTGTCTCTACAAAGGGGGCTGATCCATGCTGATGCCCTTTGTTTGATAAATCTCTTTCAACAATAATAATACTGTGTCTTCTGACTCCCTAGGAGAAGGGATGGAAAAAAGGAAAAAGAAATAAAGCTATTCATGATTGATTACATACGCTGGCAAATTTCTGATGCATATATATTTCACATACTTAGAATCCTAGCTGTAATGCATGTAATTAGCTAAATTCAATTCAGGACATCATGCTTATCCCAGCTTTATACAATTAGAAACTAAATGTGAAAGCATGAAGACTGGGCGTAAGCCTATCTTTTACCTCAGCAGTTAAAACAATACAATACAAAGGAGGGAGATACATAAATAGTCATGAGCCTCTCGGAGAAGAACAAGAATGATGGAGAAGATTAAGGACAATAGTCATCTTCAATTGCCATACTGCATGATAATTCAGATGAGAGGGCAATCTGGCTGGAAGGGTTCAGTTGGTTGATTTAGATTTCTAGACTGGTATCCTCTCCTTCCTTCCAGGCTTTGTGTGTGTCCTTCCCAAACCTGCATGCTTAGTGGAAGACCAGATCAATAACCTTGGTCAAGGGCATTTGGTGACAGCCCCCATCCAGCAAGGCTATTGGGCACCAGATCAGGATTAGCCCCGTAGGCAGAGCTTACCAGTAGCATAAATGGCCTTGCAGTGCAAATAAATATTCGTTAAAGCTTTCAATGGGTTTCTCTTGAAGCACATAGTCAATGCGGTGGCCCCCATTCAGCAGGCCCACATTAACTGGAGGCGGATCCTCTTTTGCTGATGTGGTTGGTTCCTCTGGTTTCTCCTCTGGTTTCTCCTCTGTATTCATATGGAAGAAAACTGAATCAACACAGTTGCAGTCAGTGAACAGGCCAGTTAAGCTAAGACCAGCCTTAATTTTCCTGTCTAAGGCAATGGTGGCAGCTCAGTCTTATAGGCATCTCCAAACCTTGCAGGTTTTAAGACTCGTGGACTTCAAATCCCAGAATTTCTCATCAGCCATGGGAGTTGAACTCCTCAGCCAGAATCCTGGGAGCTGAAATCCACAAGTCTTAAAGCTGCCAGGTTTGGTGCCCCCTGAATATTCTCAAAAGAGTTTCCTTCAGACAATACTAAAAAGAAATGGTGACTCTTGCCCACAAGTACTTAGATGCCAATTCCAGTTGAAGAGTTACAGTGTTCCGTGCCCAGCCCTGGAAACTGCCCAGCTCAATCCAGAGGCCACTAGATCTCTCTTCACTCAATAGAGCAGAAAGAGCCCTTATACCTGGTGCCAAGGAGGCCCTTGGGCAACTCAGAATCTCTCAAATATAACCCACTGTATCAAAGTATTCCTTCTGCACTATTTACCCCAAGCCTTTATTTGCAGTGGGAGTTTTGTAAATGGGAAGCCTGAGCCAAAAATAGCTGAAAAGCAACACAAAATGTGTTGCTTTGCATACACCAAAGGTGACCAAACTCTCTGAGTGTGCAAACCACATCTTAAACCTAGGCTTTAAACCAACCGGGTTGCTTCTCCGTGCTCGTTTCAGCTTCCGATTCATGTTCCACATCTCCAGTGGCTCCTGCCTCCACAGCTGGCAATGATGTTCTGGTGAAAGACTGCCAAGCGGTCCTCAAGGAACCCAGCAAGTTATTTTTCAGGTCCATGCTCATCCGAGTGAGGCCTTCCTTCAATTCTGGAAAAATAAAGAAAAAAAAAATTCAAAACCAGAAAAAAGACAAGATTGCATAGATGTGCAACTCTAAATGCAAGTTTGAGACTAATGTCTATGGAAGTTCTCATTCCCCCAGGTAGTGGTTGTCCCAAAGGTGCTTTTATTTTAAAGGCAATTGAACTGATTTGCTTCTCATCCAAGAAACCTCTTCAGTTCTAACTAACTGGTGGAGAATGCAAAGGATTTATAGGCTTTTGCATTCAGGCAGTTGGGCCTGGTTCTAGAATGTTCGCTATTGGTAAAAACTGTCATTCTAAATCAGTGTTTCTCAACCCTAGCAACTTTAAGATGGATGGACTTCAATTCCCAGAATTCCCCAGCCAGCATGAATATTTTTGCAAGTATTCCTTCATACATTAAAGGGAAAATTCTGAATAAGTGACTTCATACATATGCGCCCAAGGGACACCTGAAGAAGCATCCTAGGGTGGATGCGATAATTTACCTGCCAGCCATCCTGATTCAACTGTATCCCTAATTATACAATACAATACAATACAATACAATGCAATACAATACAATGCAATACAATACAATG